GCTTGTTTTCCAAGCCCTTTCCCTTGGCTGTGTTTTCGTTAGATAGTAGATAAGGACAGTGGGAATCTCGTTAATCCAAAAAATTGTCCTGATTTAAAGATATTCCAAATGTATTTCGATGTAATCATAGATGTATGAAATTATGGGAGTTAGAATGGTTTTATCAAACATGTACGATCGTTAGACAGAATGAATCAGATATATTGGTTTAGCTTAAGGCTGTTTGAGTGCATTGTACATTATACATAAATATTTATTGATTCCAGTTTTGGAAAAGCATCGTATTGATATCCACATCACATGGCAATCATAGTCCGGCAGCCAAAGGCCAATTTATCACCTGACCCCCTTTTCTCTGATATAGTTTTTTAATGATGATTATTGATCATCAGAATGTCTGTGAAGATATATAGGTGGTTGTGGAATTCTCACTCTTGGGCAAATAGAGAAAATGAATAAATCCAAGATGGCCGCCGCCGAAATACAGACTCGGCAATAAGGGCTCCAATAGAACCACAGTAACTCATTAACAAGATCATTCCACCCAGTCTCAGATAAATGTACCTAAACGTAGTCTGGTTGCACCATTGGACATGCAATGCTACTCGATATAATTGCAGATCAGCTGTGAATACAACGTATTCTTGCTCTACCTCTGTTGATATTTGTTGCGCTTCATCATGGCTAACAACATTGTAGAAGGGTCTGCAGGTGTCATATCTATCAGTGGGAGGTATACAATTTTGGTGTTGGGTCTTAATTTGTGTTCTTACTCTCTACACGCCTTCGTGTTGTAACCATTGTATTCTGGACAGCTTTCGTTGGTGAGCATATCATGGAAAAAATCAAAGTCAAGGTCTTCAGCTCGCTTGCACTACACTACTTGGTGGATTTGTAACTTTCCTGTGACTGTTGGACTGGGTACTCTTTGCATGTTCAGATTCTTTGGGCCATAGTAGATCAGGGAATGAACTTCAATGCTATCAGTTATGGGTTGGCCAATTTCTTCTTTCTTTTGTCTCTTAATATTATTTTGTGCTTTAGGCTTGTCAGAGAATGTGCTGATTTCTTGCCATTCATGGACGATATATCAGTATCGAAATTATCAGAATCGCTATTAAATAGACCATGTTTTTGCATCTGACATGCCTTGCTGAGAGGGACCACTTGACGCTGCTACAGCAACTGAATTCTTCGAACGAAGCACTTCATCATAGCTTCATGTAACACGGTAATCAAACAGATGATTCAGCAGTTCCTTCAAGTCTCTCATTAGCAAACCAAGTGCACTCTGCAGATTTGTTGCTTCTCCCTTGACAACACTTGTTACAATATTTAAAATCAACAATGCTGGCAAGGAGTTGGAGAATTTTGGAGATATCTTAGACAACAATTCATGTAATGTTGGTGAACCAGAATCAGCAGCCACATTCTGGTCTATGTGGGCGTTGTAGCAAGGTTTATCCCAAGTGATTGCAAGTGCCACTTGCTTGGATACTTTTCCCATACTAATAGAGATGTCATCTTCGTCTTTATCTTTCACAATTTTGAGCAGCTTTGCAGTGTTTGTTTAAAAGGTGGCTATGCTTGCAATACCTGCCGATGATAGCACAAAAAATTCTCATTCGAAGTGTCTACATAGTTTGTCAACTAGGTGAGTTCTGTCAAGTTTAGCGTCTGAGTGACTAGTGTACTTTTCAAATTTATTTTATCGATTTCCATGTTTGATTTTTGTTTTTACACATTGCGTTGATGGTATTTTCTAGTGCTGAATCAGTGTATTCATGGGATGCAGTTTGTTGTTCTAAAGGCAATAAACATTTGTGTATGTGAAGAACCGACTCGTACAGTCTTTGTGATACTGGGCTTCCACAGCATGAAGATCTCTCAGAGCACCTTGTACTCGAACCCTCACTTCACCATCCCAGTGGTCAGCTCGCTTATCACATTTTTCGAGCAAATGAATTTTGTAGGGTCTTTTATCGTACTCTGAAGTAATTGAGCGGCACAGATAGGCATGTTTCCATCTTTCTGGATGCTTCCTTTCTTTCTCTAAGCTGGCATGGCTCTCCACAATAGAGACAGTGTTGCAAGAAATCAAATGTGTTAGTGGAACACCGTAGTCATTTGGCAGAAGGCCATGTTTCCTCATCAGGTTTATCTGCCTTCTTATATTTGATGAGATTAGTCTTTGATGAATATCTAGACACACAGTTCTTGTGGTATTGAAGTTTAAAATTCGGATTTTGCAAGAATTACTTTTGAAGTTCTGTCCATAGACCATCACCATATGCTTTACTTGCATCAATGATGGTCTGTACTCTGCTTGGTTCACTGTTAGTAGAACATGGAAGTTTGCCATCACATTCACTCCCATATCTCGATTCAAACATACACGATTCATCCATTTTCACCTGTAATCAGAACAGACTAGTTAGTTTTCACGTGTTATAATTCAAATGTAATTTATTGTCTTAACTAAGTAATAAATAGATTAACTGAACATTTTCACTGTTTTTTTTATTGGTTGCTGATACAAGTGCATATGATGATGTAGCCATCAAGTTCAGTGTGAATTTTGTCTGAAATAAATACAATAGCGTATTCCATTTAGGTTAATTCTTACCTAATCGCGAAGACAATTGTAGTCATTTTGTTGCCAATTGGAAGCTTGTTCTGCTTAAAGAATTATTAACAAGAAAAGGTACTATTATTTGCAAACTATTTGCTTGATTGATATGAAACACATATGACTTACCAGTATTTGAAAATACATGTATATACCAGGAAAAGTGACTTTTGAAAGAATTTTTGGACGCCATGCTTGATTTTGCATATTTCTACACATAGCATCAGAAATGGCTTCCTCATACCTGAAAACATAAAAAAACGATAGTTTCATCATGTTTATAGCTTATCTAGTTGTGAAGATAAATTTTTCCGATATGGCAGCGGCCATCTTGGTTTTTTCATTTTTCTTAACTTGCCGAATTGTGAGAACTCCACACCCGCCTAGATATTTTCACACACACCCTGATGAACAATAATCAGCATTCAAAATCTCTATATCAGAGAAAAAGGGGGTTATCCTCCATCACATGTATATTGGCTATTTTCTGCCACGGGGCATTGTGTCTGCCAAATTATGTAGAGATTGAAATATAAAGACATTAAGAATTCAACATGCCGTTAAAATGCTAACCTCAGACAATATGATTATTGTTTGGTTAAGTATGTGAAATCTATAGAACAATGCGTGAGTTCCAGTAAAACAAAAGAAAAATCGGAGTTTTTTTCAACAACAACAACAAAAAAAAGAAAACGTTTTCTTGCTAAGATACTTCAACAATATCATCTGGAAAACAGTATGTCGAAACATTCTTTTCAGACATGAAAATTAAATGAAACTCGTTTTCCTTCTAAAATACTCCAACTGTTTGCTCATATCAACGGCAGAAAACAGTATATCGAAATATTCTATTCAGACAAGAAAGTTAAATGAAAAATGTTTCCCTGCTAGGGTTCAGTATTCATTATTTATTGCCCAAACATTACTCAAACAGTTGGTGAAAATTCTGAATTCGCATGTTCTAGATTCTAGTTTCAGCATTCACTGAATTATTGAAGTTGGTTGATGATTACCGAAGTTACTAGAAACGTATCTTATTATACACAAATGTTACTAAATATACCGTACATAAGCATTTATAGGTCAACAAGAGACACGTATGTTGAACAGATACGATTGATTGAAATTGGATTTCATCAAAGGTATGGAGATACTGTTGTATTGTGGCCTCTTTTTTTTAGGTGATATAATTAGCATAGAAATACGATATGTTACTTTTGAAAAGAAAGATAGATGATCAGTCCAGTAGTTTGGTAAGTTAATTTTCCCGAAACACATAAAAATCATTTTATTTCATCTCTCTCACGGTATGGTAGACCAGTCCATGCGCAAGTTCTAAAATTAAACCAGGAATAGGAATTTACCTCAATATTGTACCATCAGCTTTGTAATTTTACGCACGATTTCCTATCTTGTTTTGTCTTGTGTAACCGTCTTGGTTGATGTATTGTGCATAGCATATCCAGTACAACTTTTTCATTTAAATGCAGCTGTTATGGTTATGGGAAGTTTTGTGAAAGCCCTGATTTTTTTCTCCATATTTTATTTTTAAAAATCGCGGAGAACAATGATATCAGAAAGCCCACATCGATCAGTTTGAAAGTCAGTATCATGACACTTGGGAATTTACATTTAACACAAGGATCGCTTGATAAAATATTTTCAAATTTGAAATCCTGCCACGTTACACCAGTGGATGCTGAAAACGCCAAAGAATGGACTTGTGATTATCTATCTCGAAGTGATATCCATAGACAACTTACAAAGCACATTTCTCATAAGACTCTTTTCTTGGATGGTATATAAATATACGGCCATATTTGAAAGTTATTTCTATATTCAACCGTGATACTTTATTAAAAATTAAATGTAAAATACAAATGAAACGTTACAAAATTTTCTTAAGTTTAATAAAAATGTCGAAACGCTCTCACTAAAATACTGTCTTGTATTTCGAATGCCTTTTATGACGGACTTTACTTGACTTAAATGCGTGTTTGTGATATTTCTTGTTATCTTTCCGCCCCCCCCCCGTAACTCAGCGAAAATCTGAGGGCTAAGAACGCTAAAAGTCGCTACTCGCTACGGGAAGAGCAGATAGCCTATTGCGTAGCTTTGCGCTTAACAAGAAAGTTGTTAACTTTAATTTCATTTAATATTGACAAATAAATTAGATTACATGGCCCACGCGCTACTGTATTAACAGTGATAATTGTGTTAAAAACACCTCAAAAGGATATCAAACCTAATGTTTGCCACTTTCGTAGAGCTCAGTTAAAGCTTTTACTACATTAACATAGGTGTTTGTAATAGTTTTTATGGTAAAGAAGAGGTAACCTTTTCCTTTATCAAAAGACTTTTTTGTACACAGATAAAGCCGCGTCAGAAGCTACTTTTCGAGGGGCAGAATTTCTCAGCTACGACTTCAAGTCCTTAGGAGACGAGCCCATCATCGCTTCAAGCGACAGTGTGTCCTTGTTTTTCAAGACTCGCCAGCCCCACGGGATGCTGTTTTACACGGGGGATGGAGACGACTTCCTTAGCTTATCGCTACGTGGCGGGGGTATCGTTCTCACGGTCAGCCTGGGCTCGGGCTCTCTTGAAAGAGTCGTGCGGCCTAGTAAAGTGCGCTTTGATGACAACCAGTGGCATAAAGTGTTGGTTCACCGAAAAGTTCGAAAAGTAAGTTTAAAATGAATCATGAAAGGAGAGTAGTCTGTAATAAAAACAAACGTAAATGAAAAATGTGCAGTTTTAGATATATCATAAGTTTCTCACTCTTCATTATAATTTTAAAGTTTTCACAATCAAAAACCCTCTAAACACAATTCACCTGAGTGAAATCATGGGGTATTAATGAAGAATGTAATAAACAAGTTTGGAAATGTTCTTGTTCCCCTGCGGTTCTTCTTTCATAACATGTAAATCAAAAATTTAAACATTTAATTTTGAAAATCATGTATCAGCAAATTGGCCTTTCATTTTAAAATCTTAAGTAATAAAACATGAAAAGAACACCGTAATATTGACAAATTTGAAGTGTTATTTTTTATTATTTTTGCCCCTTTAAATTTAGTTTCACGGTAAGCCTAATACATAAACAGAACAGTAGAAGAGATAACGATGTATACTTTCAAAAAATATTTACCATATCTACCGATATATAATAAAAAAGTTAAATCTTAATAATATTTTTAAAGTAATGAAAAAAGAAAATTCAGTAGCATCAGCATTAATCAATCAAAATTCAACAAAACTAGTTTAAAACGCTAATGAGGAATAACAAAAGAACCGGAAACTCAGAAAAAACTAACAAAGAATAATCGTAGAGGAATGCCTTCAGATTTATTAGTTAAAGAAGATGCCAGTATGATGAGGTTTTATATTTTTACTTCAAGCTAGAAATTGAAGATGAATTGAAAACAGGTTAGAAATAAAGTCACTTCAATGTAAAACAAAAAAACCGTTCTGATTTATTCTAACCAATGAAAACATTTTTTTTCCTTCAAGAAATAGAAAATAAATCCCCAAAGTCAGACGCCATCCAGTTTTATAATGTTGGAACCCAATTCAATGTCAAATTCTTCATTTTTTTTATTATTTTATTTAACTCAGCCAAAGATAAAATGGCTCTAATGATATTAAGGAATTATGTTTGTGGAAAATAATGTTCTTTAATATAAAAGTGTTTAGCTGTGTCATTACTAAAGTATTACAGATTGATATTTTTGTTCATTTTTAGATCACGGATAGCACGAGCTTCTGTCACGTGAGTACATTGCCTTATGGTCAGTTATAATATCGTAGATGATAGTTTACTAGAATATCTTGGAATTATACACGAAGCAATTTTCAAAGTGTGGCAGTACGAGCTGATTACTCACCGGTTTATTTAAGCGTCTTACAAAAAATTTAGTTTCCATGACTACCGTTGCTAGACCACACGTCTCCACAAACAAATGAAAGTTGTGAAAGATAGTAACTGTACATGTTTGTCTGGAAGATATAGCACATATACTTTGTAAAATGTCTTCTTTGTATTTCTTATAAAAGACTCTTAGAGTATTTCAAAGGATATGATTCTATTTATTGTAACTTAACTGCTGCTTTGAAACGTGTTAACTATTAATTACTCATACAATTTGTGTTTGAGATGAAAGCCAAATGTTTCGCAAAAACTTTAGTTTCGATACGAAATTATGACTAAATGTATCATAATCCAAAATGATAAGGAAAAGTGTAAAAAGCCACTATTTTACTTTGATTACGTTTTCAAAAGTAACTGTTCGAACGCAGTCCAACGAATAAAACTCACAATGGTGGATAATGTATCTCGCTTAACTATCAGGATTTCGGCAACATCTTTTATAATAAACACAAAAACAATAGGAGATTAATGTTTGGTGGTTTTATTCGAACAGACGTATTTTATTACACTTTCTGTAGTCTTAACACTCCTTCATCGGTAGTGCTCCCCAGTAGCACAGCGGTATGTCTGCGGACGTATAACGCTAGAAACCGGGTTTCGATACCCGTGGTGAGCATAGCACAGATAACCTATTGTGTAGCTTTGTGCTTAATTACAAACAAACAGTCATTGGTGGTTTTAATTTCATGTTTTATTATTTTCCACTTACTACGTTTCTTTAATTTAAAAAAAATAGGGATTTCTTTACAATTTTAGTAAAAATAAAACATTGCTAACATTTCAATCTGTTTGTACCTGTAGAACATCACATGTTCTATTAAAGAAAAAACATTATTTAATAGCCGGGAGAATAGATTTGGTTTTCCTGGAACAGGTGCTCAGTCTTACCATAACAATTGCTGATCCGTATCATCTTACCTGAAGTGTTTCCTGGAACAGGTACTCAGTCTTACCATAACAACAATTGCCGATCCGTATTATCTTACCTGAAGTGTTTCCTGGAACCGGTGCTCAGTCTTACCATAACAACAAATGCTGATCTGTATTATCTTACTTAAAGTGTTTCCTGGAACAGGAACTCAGTCTTACCATAACAACAATTGCCGATCTGTATTATCTTACCTAAAGTGTTTCCTGGAACAGGAAATCAATTTTACCATAACAACAATTGCCGATCTGTATTATCTTACCTAAAGTGTTTCCTGGAACAGGAACTCAGTCTTACCATAACAATTGCCGATCTGTATTATCTTACCTAAAGTGTTTCCTGGAACAGGTAATTAGTCTTACCATAACAACAATTGCCGATCTGTATTATCTTACCTAAAGTGTTTCCTGGAACAGGTACTCAGTCTTACCATAACAACAATTGCCGATCTGTATTATCTTACCTAAAGTGTTTCCTGGAACCGGTGCTCAGTCTTACCATAACAACAATTGCCGATCCGTATTATCTTACCTAAAGTGTTTCCTGGAACAGGAACTCAGTCTTACCATAACAACAACTGCCGATTTGTATTATCTTACCTAAAGTGTTTCCTGGAACAGGTGCTCAGTCTTACCATAACAACAATTGCCGTTCTCTGTTAAAGTGTCCATACCTTTCTTGGATCAAATGGACATCATCCTAGTTTATATCATGTTTCTATAGAATTCTATACAATTATTGATAACGTTCTGCTAGATAATTAGTATTTCTGTGATAGAAATTACTAGTGTTTTCGCTGGTGAAAACCACGCTAGGCCTTACCTAAGTCTTCTTGGATCAGTAGACTATAAACTAAAGTATCATGTGAAATGCTGTATTGTAGGAGTCACGTTAGTATATAGAAAATAAGTTGCTGCCTTTGATTATAATTAATGTTAAAACTCACTTGGAAAACTGGCGAACTTAAGTTCTGGTCTGTTTCAACTTCGATTTTTCATTAACTTCATAACCAAATTATGATTAAAAAACATTAAGCATGCTCACACATACCAGTATTACTGCAGCTTTTCTGAATTAAAGTATTATCCGCAAATAAAAAGAGATTCGACCAGAAATTGTATCACTGTGTAAATGTTAAGTATCTGACTTTGACAGGTTTTAAGGAGGAAAGAGACTGAGCACAATGTTAAACACAGTGAACGTTAATCGTTTTTCACAAAACAAAATAGTGTCGTGTGCACTGAACATAAGACAGCGTTTTTACTGAAGATATAACTTCTGCTGAGCTTTTAAAAAGAGATATCAATGTGAATGTTGATAAGATGTCCCAGACTAACAGAGCATAGCATTATATACAATATTCTCTAATGTCATCCCTTTCAGTATGCATTCGCTAATCACGTCAGTGACGGTCATCCCAGTAGAAATAGTTGGGTGTGAGCCAGTGGTTAGCGTGCTGGACTATGGACTTGCGGGTCCAGCGTTTGTGTTCCATTACCGCCAAAATAAAACATCGTGCACCGCACTTTGAGACCGTGGTTGCGTTATTAGCGTGACGGTCAAAACCTACTATTCACTATTCAGACACAGAAAAGTAATCCAAGAGCTGGTGGTAAGCGCTAGATGTTTTCATTTTAGTCGACCAGTTCAAAATTAGGGACAACGAGAGAAAACAAGCAAACAATCCAATATATAAGTGTGGAAGTCTATCCTTCACCTGACCTGCCAGTGGAAAAGATCACTGTCCATCTTTACATAGTCTATTCTACTTTACAGCAATCTTTCCCACAAAAATGTACGCGTGACACCATAAGGGGGTGACCCAGAACATGTAGCTAGAGCAAAAGGACCTTAATCGCATTGCTTGACCAACGTTCTATTGTTAAAACTACACAAGCCTATATGTATGAACATTTTTGAAAATTCTTGATGAACTTGTAACGTTCCCATTACCGACTAAAGAAGGTGAGAAATATTAGGTTTACTTCTGCATACCACATACTCCAGTCATCGGTCGTTGGACTTATAGTTCTGTTAGTTGCTATTGTGTAATATTCGAGGAAACATTTTCGCTCTACTTCTATCACTTTCATGATCTCAGAGGTTGCTGTTGGATTTAATATAATATGTAGAAGTAAAAACTGGTTATTGAAGAAAACATAGTATAGTACAGCGTTTCTCAAAATAGGGTCTGCGTACCCTCAGGGGTCTTCGAGGGTACTTCGGAAGGTCCGAGAGTTATGTCCGAAAATAAAAATATTTTTTTAAAATATGATTTATAAAATAAAAATAATTTTCGTAAAATTAAATTTGTATATATATTGAAACATTTAATTTTGGAATACAGCCTTTCATGTACACGGTTTATTATTATTTTTTTTCAAAACAAAAAACATCGATAGGTTTGGGGGTCCACGAAAAAAATTAAATTAAAAGGGGTCCTCGGGTTACTAAAGATTGAAAATCGCCTGTTGGCTAAACTTTCTTTTTTTGTTTAATTTTTTAAAATCATCCCAAAATTTTTATGATTTGACCGTTGAGTTATTGAAAAGTAGTATTGTTTATATTGTTCATCACTCATTTAAAAGATATTCTTGTTTTCAACGGTGAATATTCAATAATCGTTAAAAACCAGAGTAAAAATGAAACGGAAAAGAATAAATAAAAATAAAAAATTCTAAGTAAAGTGAAAAATTTTAAACCAGAGAATAAAAATTCGAGATAAGGAGTAAAATGCGAAACTAAGCGTGAAAATGTCAAAGATCATACAGCGAAATGATTTAAATTTTAAAGATAAAAATAACAACATCGATTACTTACTAGCAGAGCCAAAATTCATAACATAAAACATTTTGAATGTCAGACTAAGCGTTAAAATGCAGATCTGAAAGCGTGGGATGGAAACGCGAAAAATAAGTGGAAGTAGGACAGTATAAGATAAAATACGTACACAGCGTGGTCACAAGTAAATA